CATATGTGCATTTTGTATGGTGGGGCCACAAGTGCCATGAGCCACCTGAACCCTAGCTGCTCAACTAAGGAGAAGGGCTGGCCATTGACAGCAAGCACCTCCCCAATGCTTTGGATGACGTTGCTCACCTCGGGAACACTCCCCCCCCAAACCCCCCCCATGTGCCCACTTTTCCCCCACTGTTCCAGGGTGGCTTGCCTCGGCTTTGGGGGGATGATTCCCCCTTCTTGGGCTTTGGAGGGAGAGGGGGAATTCTTTTTGAGCACACTCCCACTGGTGTCAGGCTGAGGAAGGGCAAGGGCGTGGTGTCTGCGGAGATGCTCATGATGCTTATGCTTTTCGCTCCCTTGCCCCAGTTGGTTTTGGCTCAGCAGTGCAGGCAGGTAGCATATGTGAAGTTATCTGCGAGCTCAAAATTGATCCCAGACCATGCTACCTGCTCACTTTTAGGGTGTGGGTGCGTGTGCGGATTTTGCCTTTGCCCCCTCCTTAGCAGGCAGAGGCGCAGCAACAGGAGGAGCGAACTCAGCTGAGCCACTTGCCTCCACAACCTGTACCTCAGCTTCCTCTGAAGTGCCTTCTGGGGAAGGAGACCTGGCTGTAGGGGAAACTTGAGGTGTGTGGAGCACAAACTCAGATTAAACTCAGATGATTCCCCCTCCTTCCTCAGAATTTCCCTTGCTGTGGCACTCAGATCCAGATCCAGCTCCAGTTCTTCCTCTGGCACTGGAAGGATCAGCTCGGGAATTGAAATTGGGGTGGAGGAGATTGGGGTGCTGGTGCTGCTTGTTGTTGTAATGGTGGTGGTGCTCAGGGTTGTTGTTATTATGGCAGGTGTTATTGGAGGGGATGCAGACACTGCTCCCATCTCCTTGGTGCTGCTAGCAGCAGAAGTGGGATGGCTGCTAGTTGTTGGAAAGAGGCTGCATTTAAGTTCTGGGGCAGGAAGGCACTTAGAGCTCTCCCTCTGCCCCCTCTTTCACCCCAGCCAGAAGAGTGGCCACCTGCCTTTTCAGCACACTTCATGTTTGATGTGCTGGAAAATCTGTGTTTCTGTAATGCAATGTATATATTTATGTAACATATATATTCTGTAATATATGTTGTGCTTTCCTGAACAGTCAATGCAGACTGGCAGGGAAAACATAGATTTATTTTATGTGGAGAAAGAATTACAGAGAATAACAAAAACAAAAAGATGATTTAAGGGGGAGGAATAAATTGAAAGGAACAGATTAGGAAAGGGTATTGGGGTATTTTGGAAAGGATTGGATACCACTTGCTAGGAACAGACTAGCAAGTAGGAAGTGAGAGCCTTCCTGATGCTCTTGATGGTGCTGGAGGACACACTCAGTAAGCTGACAAAGCTCATTTCAAACAATACTTTTATGCTCCTTCTCCATCCCTCCCCCAGAGCACTGGTATTGAAAGGGACCTCAGGGAAGGATCACAGTCAGTGTCCAGCAACACGTCAATATCAGAGCAATCCTTCCCTCCTCCTCTCCTTAGTTTGTATTTCCCTGCAAACCCAGCTTCGAAACTCGAAACTGTTCAAAATTTTCAAAACATTTCAAGTGCCCTCATTTCACTTCAAAGCTGTTTCAAAGCTTTGCGTTTTGATTCAGTTTTGGTGTTTCAAGCTTGAAACGCATCAAAACACCTTCGAAATTGAATGTCCGTTGAAATTTTGCACAACCCTAGTATCCACATGTTACTCTGAAAAATATGTAATGTCCCTGATCCTTTGCATGCTTTAAGTTTGTCTGTTACTTGAAATTAAAGTTGTTTTTTTGTTGTTGTTTTTTGTTAATTTTATAGAAATTTAAAGTTCAAGTTGTCAGCTTCCTTTGGAGTCATACTCAGAACAAGGTAAATGAAGGATCAGAAAATGTTAAAACGTTCAGTTTTATATGTTAAAGATACTTTCCCCTCCCTCTGAAAATATTACTGTCAGTGTCAGGTACCTATTTTCTGATATATTTTCTTTCCTGTCCGTCCTACTGACTGTTTCCCCCTCACCCCTCCACTGACTGAGCTTGGTGCCTGTCAGGGATGTGAGATTTAGAGCCTTACATATCTTTTCTGCTCCTCATCAGCACAAGAATATAGTGCAGGCAAGTACAGCTCAAGGTGACAAAAGTATCTTCAGTGTAGACCAAGAAATGGCCTGCAGGCTGGATTCTGTCCATGGGGCCACATCACCTGGCCCACAAGGCTTGCCACAGATCTGGAAATTTGGTGGTGGCAGTGTTAATTATCACAATTTCCTTGGCACTCTGTACAGTGAGAGGATGGGTCAGTTTTCATTAATTTTACCCTTTGCAGTTGAGGATGCCTATATGGATATTAGTTTTGATCTTCCCCAGGTGTACGTTACTATCTAAAGGAAATAATTAGGGCTATGCTTCCTGGGAGACTTCATTACACATTAAAAAAGAAAGTCACAGAAGAATTTGACACTCAGCTGCTAGTGCATAAACTCATTTGGCATTAATGGATAGCCAGAGGGTTTCTGTCCCATTTTGCAGCTAATGTTTGCTTTGCTTGTGATATTATTGTCTCCTAGGATCCTGTTGTAGCAATTTCAGCGTACAAATCTCTGTCTGAATTTGGTTCTGAGGAACACACCATCCTTCATCTTCCTGAACAGGTATGTAACAGGGGACCAAAGCCCTGTTATGGAGAAAAGGCTGATGGGCAGGAGAAAATGACATGGCACCTTTTTAAGAGCAGAACTTTTGTGGCCCAGAGGGGTAAGGACTTGAACAGGGGAAGTGCTGTGAAAGAGCACAGTAAGAGGCCTTAGCCCTGGACCCTATAGAGAAAAGAACCCTGATCAGGGGAAGAAGGAAACCATGGCAGATGTACTCCAACAAACTGCTTCATCAGATGCTGCACTGAAGTTGAGCTCTGGGCTAAAACTGACTTCCAGACTGCTAACTGATGCAGGAGCTGCAAATGGTCCAGGCCTACCTTTGGCAGAGATGGCCAGAGGCAAAGATGTTAAAGGGATAATAAAAAAACCCTTTGTCAGAGCTGCCTATCAGGGCCCAGATGATTGGTGAGGGTGGGACTGGACCACTATACAAGCTGGGCCAGGAAAGCAGGGGCATGCTGACCTGGAGTGGCAGGGAGGAAGGAGCTCTATGGCTGAGTGAGTAAGCTCTGGCCCAGAAGAGAAACGGAAGGGACACTATCAGAGGGCAGAGAAGTCACCCTCCTGCAGTGGGGGAGTGTGCCTAGATGGTTAAAATTTTGTTGAAAGTTATTTTTGTTCACTCAGCCTAGTGTGTTTTGAGTTAGAGCTTTTGCTAGGAATGTACTGAGTTTGACCAGTGGTTTGGAAGTGGTTGAGAAGGGTGTTTGGAGGCCACACAGTAGGATGCTTCGGCACTCTGCAGCTGGAGCCCTGGCAAGGGGCAGGGATGCGAGGAGGGCTGTGGCTGAGGAGCTGAGACCCAGTTAGTGGGCAAAGTCTGAAGGCTACAACCAGAAGAAGAGGGCCAAGGCTGGGAAGACCTGAAGCCTGGACAGCAGGGCTGGCTTGAGTGAAGTGATTCAAGGAAAGGAAACCGAGTAAAACCTGTGAGGCATGGTGGTGGCTATGGGGAGGCTGAAGGCCACAGTTAATGCCTGTAAGGCCATAATTGGGAAAATGGAGGGGGGTGGGGATGGCTTGAGAGGCAATCAGTTTCACATAAAGGGAAAGCAGTACAGGAGGAAGATAGGAGTATGGGCAGATGCTGCTGTCTTCATGGCTGCTCACCCCAGGCAGCAGTAATGGCTCCTGTCCTGGGCCTGGGTTGAGGCCAGGGCCAGGGCCAGAGCTGCAGGAGCTGGCTGCCCTGGGCTGGTACTAATGTTCAAGTTGAGGCTTTTTTTCCTGATGTTGAATGGGGGGAAAAGCCCTCATCTTGGATTCTAGTAAATACAATAAATACTTCAGAGCAAGAACAGGTGCTACCTTCTCAGAAATGAAACAGAAAAGGAAAGGGCAAGACCACGCACAAGGTGGGAAATACTTGCTAGGTAGATAGGATCCGCCTGAGGAAAAATGAGCCACATTGGCTCCTAAGAGAGTTATAAATGAATTGATGGCCTGTTTTGGTGAGCATGGGTCATTGATTTATAGCTTCTGAAAGTGTTTGGGAGTGGGTTTTGATTTGTCTGGGAGTAGTTGTGGACATCAGCTCTGGAGGGCTGTCTCTCAGAGAATGGCCCACTGAACTCATGCTTAAAGTTTCTGTTGGGAAACTAACTTGCTTCTTAGATACTTTATGCTTGTTTTGAATACAGGTGCTATCTTGTGTGCTTCTGTGTTCCTAAATTTCAAGATATATGGTACTTAGCCTTCCCCAAAAAGGAGGCAAGGTAAAAAGAAAGTGATGTTAGTTGTTTGATGCATATATAGAGAACTGTTTCCTCTTAAATTTCTTCCTCAAAAATGTAAATCTGTACCCTTATGGAATGGAAGAATATAGACTGCCACATGTCAGGTAATCTCTCTGAGTTATTTTTTTAAATAACCTTGTGAGAAACCGAGTGGACAATAATGGGTAATCACTGCTACTTCATGGCTATGCTAAATACTTCTGTATGTTTTGATTTCCTGCAGTATTGCAAAATTGCCTCCATATGGGTGCTACAACTGTGTATTATGAAAAGATTTTTAAATATCATAAATAACTTTAAAATTAAAATCCATACTTTACGGAAACTTATAAAGCAGTGTCTGGTGGAAACTCAGGTATAAACAAAGTTTATTTTTTATCTGAAAAGCGAAGAGACTGATTAAGGGTAAACCTCTAACCACTGATACAATAATAAATAATTGTGTGCTGGCATATAGTGATAACTAAACTCTGTGTACTGTTCCCTTTACATCAGAAAGAGAATCCATTTGTTTATTTAAAAGTATGATCCACTAAAAACTACTGCAGTCTTTAATGCCGAAAAAAAGACATTCCTGTGAGCCTTCTTCTTTCAGAAGGTGCTTTACAGGTTGAATTCTAATGTAAAATAGATCCTTTTCCTGAGTTGTTACAAAGAAATCAGACTAAGAATCAAATCCAAGACTCACTAGAATGAAGAGTATTACCATTCTGTTCCTAAATTTATTGATTAAGTTTTACCACAAATGGTAGTTCAGATCCATGAGTCTCACTACTTTTGTAAATCTGTTCTGCACCTTCGGTCTGGTAGAAGACAGCTGTTTACCTTCTCAGCTTAAAGACTAGTTGTTTGAACTAAAAGGTGATCGTTATCTTCATTATTCTGGACCATGAAGTTATATATGGATTTCAAGTGAGATATTTATTTCTCCTAGTATTTTATTTATGTTTTTTACTATTCAATGTGTTTGACATCACTTAGGCAAGACCAGAAGTTGATCAGCCAGAAGAGATGGATGTCACTGAAGAGGAAGAAGAGAAGGGGATGGACCTTTCTGTTCCTGGCTCTGCTTATATCAAACTTTTGTCCCTAACACCTTCTGTGATTTTACCAGGTAGTTTACATTTAGCGATGAAACTACGATATAGCTTTATAACCTAAAGCTGCTTGCAGATGTGGAATCCCTCTCCCTTTCTCCCCCCCAATAGCACTTTATTTTAAACTCAGCGCACTCCTGTGCCAAGCCCAGCTCATGCCCAGAAGTGGCAGGGTGCTACTTGCACCTGTCTTTTCCAATGTCTGTATGGATCGGGTGCTTTAGTGGGGCTTTTTTTGTGCTTTTGTCTAATAGCTGATTAAATCAACTTTAACTAAAAGCGCCAAAAAGCCATGCTGAAGCGCCCGATCTATACAGATGCTGCAGAGCCGGGTAGAAGTAATGCGCTGCTGCTTCCAGTAAAGTGTGTTATTTTATTTTTTTCCTATGCCTGTCAATGCCCCAAATGATTATGTTAGGGGGATCCACTGAAATGGAGACTGTTGTGGGGCTGGGGCCTTATTTGGTTTGTCTTCCATAAAAATAGTATCCCAAAGTAGGTCACAAAGTTAAAGAATACAGTCTTACTTAAAAAAAAAAAAAAAAAAAAGCGGGGGTGGGGGTGGATACTGCATTTTTACAGCATGTACCTTCTTTCCAAAATCCAGCTGCTGGAAATTAGTGTGTGCATTATATGTGAAGAATATGGCAAGAGCAGTTTCTCCTACTTATCAGGGGAAACTGAAAGTAAAGTCTGCCCATGATCCACAGAGAACAGAGTGGTGAGCGGGTGCTGCTACTTAACTACTGCTACCCAATTATTTACCACAAGGAAAGATTCCTGCCCCCACCCCAGCTCCCTTCCCTCTTCATTCTGCTTTTCCTAAATAAGGTGTGTATCTTATTCCAGGGCATATTGTGTATGAGGAAATATGGTATTGATATAGGAGGAAAGGTGCTAATGCTAGAGACAGGTGTTATGATATTACTTAAGAATACTATTTTAGAATTCTATGTTTTTCTCTAATTCCCTAGCTAAGGTTGGCTGCAAGTTACCAACATTGTTCTCTAATTATGATTTAGGCCTAAAGCGGAGAACTAGAGGAATCATGTCTAAAAGGCAGCTCTGTTTTTTCAGACATAAGACTGTACAAAATGGAAAGTTACAGGTTTTGTAAATTTGTTTTTTCTTGTTTGTTTTTTTAATTTTCTCAGCGCTGTTATGGTTTGGAGGTTTGTTTTTTGAATAACGTTTATGAAATGTTTTTTCATACCTTAACTAACCTCAGTGTCAGGTGAAGAGATTGGGTGTGTAAAATAATGATAGACATCCTCTTGGAGTCACTGTATCTCTATAGGGATGGGGCTATGGACTCTGAGCTGCTGCTGGATAGTAATCACTCACAATTTTCTTACTGTTGGCTGAACTCAGGAACCCAGGTGCATCTAACGGAGGATATAGTTAGGCAGTTAGTATGTCCTGGAGTGTTTCCTAAAATCCCCATTACTGCTATAGCAGGTAGACTGGAACTTCCACAGTGATTGTTTGTGAGTGTTGGCTGAAACCTCGCTTTTCCTGACTGAATCCATGACCTTTTTCACTTTTGT